AATGCTTCAGGAAAAACTCAGCACCCAAAAAAGTGTCTGACTGTGTGTAGTCAGTCTGGAGTTAATTCTTCAGCTGTTCTTGCCTACCCCACTTGTCTTCTGACCTCAGAAGCCCCAAACCTACTGAAATACTGTTAATCCTTTCTAAACCCGAATCTACCCAGCAGCAACATGAGCTGTTCACAAAATGTTATGGGTTCAACCTCATCCACAATAGTTTTCTTCACATACCTCTTAAGCATAAATAAAGGGACAGTGTGTGTGAACACCAGCTAGTGAACATTCTAGAGTCAAATAAACAGAAATTGCCAAAAGAAAATGTATAAATGGTATGTACTTTGATATTTAATGTTAATGGTTTCATTTCTAGTAGAAGAATTGATTATGCAGACTTGATTTATTGTTAGCTCAGCTCAATAGCATTGATTTAGGTATTGAGCATGATATGTGCCATTGCAATTATTGTTTCCCTGAAATAATTTCTTTTGATATATATATACATTGATTACATTTTTACTGTTTTAATAATACCAGCCACTATGTTACTGGCATAATACATGCAAGCACTATATATATATATATATAAATATAAATATATATAAATTATAGATATAGTGTATATATATAAAAATTATATATAAGTATATAATATATCCTTATGTATTAGAATAGACACTAATATATATTATAATAGATATACTATATATACAGTGTATATATTACCATATATATACAATATATATAGTATAAGATATGCTATTATATACTGGTCTTTATTTACTGAGCCAGTGATATGTCATGAGTCAGGGTTATCTGATGCCATGCTTCTTATTGTTCTCTACCCTGAAAGTCAGCAGTCAGCATCCACTGTTCCATCAAGTTCTTATTATTTTTGGAAATCAAATGGAAATGACACATTCATTACCAGCTGATACAGACAGTTAATAAAAAATGATAGAGCAGAGAAAACAACTCACAAATGTCAAATAAGACAATGTTCTCCCCCTCTTGCAGGACACACCAGGTAAATAACACTTCAAAATCCCTTTGGTCTTCTAAAAATGTTCCCCTCCTCGACCTGATTATTGCCAGGAATCTGTCCCCTGAACCTGCACATGTTTCTTATTCATGTCCCTTTGCCTCCTCAGAGGCTGGGAAGGAAATGTGATTTTTACAGACACGTGCACAATGTTCTGGAGAGTAACAACAAACAAATTGTGAACTTTGGTATCTTTCCACTGTTCTCTCGCTATCATATCTATGAAATGAGAGTACACAGGAGCTATGCCCACATTTGTGGGACAACTGAGAGAGGTATTATCTTAACCGATTGCCAGTTACTCTGTCTTTGAAAACAAGTATTGTTTGTACCTGACCTAGAACTATTAGTTTTATCATGAAGGGCAACAAGATTGACCAGATATTCCTTGTCTTCTGATAACCTCACATCACCAGCTTCTGCAGCCACTTTCCTCACAAGGTAGAGAGTCCTCAGATACTTTTTCTTTTGAGACAAGTCTCTGAACTGATGATCTTTCTGATATTTTGCATATGGCTTTCTGGTGATTAGCTATGTCTTTTCCTTATTTAGATCAAGAGTACAAGGTTTGCTTAGGATTTCCTGCTTTTTTCTTGGCAAAATTTCAGGTTTTTTTTCAAAATGGAATCACTTCCTCTTGATTGTATTATGCACCTGCTCTCAAATTTATTGTAAGCAGGTATTTGCCCTGGTTTTCTGACTCTGTGTTTTATCAGCTTCACCTTGACTGTTCTTAAGCACTTTAAGGAATACAATCTTCACTGCAAACCTGCACTTCTACCTGTTCTGAGCAACATTGTGTGCATTTCTTGCAGGGAATGCTTTGCTTTGATCTTTTTGCCAGTTCTAATGCTTTTAATTTGATCTGTAATTATTCCCTATAATAACTGTTTCAGTTCATGTGTCTCAGCTTTAATATAAGGGTGATTAAGTGCTCAGTGATCCCACTTGGCAGCCACCTTCTAGTAAAGAAACATACCATCCCCTGACAACATTTTTACAGGATTCCAAGTGCTCTCAAAGACTACAATGATTTTAGGAATATATCCTTGTGTTCCCAGGGTCTGAAGTAAAGCCCACCACTGTGCTGATCCCACCACAAATACAGTGTGAAACACCTCTGGGCTTTACAACCGTGCTTGCTTTGCAGTGCAACCACTTTTTCTTGATCTGCTTTTCTTAGTTTGTTTTTGAACACTAAGGGAGTGGTTGTGTAACACATGAGTGCTCATTTAGAGAGAACTATATGTCCTGGTTTTCCCAACTTGTGATGGACCAAGATTGCTGAAAGTTATGGCCCTTTCACATAACATGAAAAACCTTACTTCCTTCTGTAACATTATTAAATGCTATGGATATAATATCATAATGAATTGAATCAATTATAGTTTTCTGACTTTGTCAGAGCATGTTTCCTGAGTTGCAGTGAATACTTAACTTCCAACATAAAATAAGTATTTGTAAGTTATAAATGGGAATTGAATTTACACAGCTTTTAGAAGGCACAGAGGTATAGTTTCGGGACAAAAATTATTCTTATTTTCCTTGCCTTTTTTTCTGAAAAGGGTTTAATCTTTCAAAAACAGAGAGAGAAACACATTTTTAGGGTGTTTTCCCTTTCAAGATTTGAGAAAATATAAAATTATTTTACTTCAACTTATAAATCAGAAACACATTTCAATCAAAAATATATTTAAGCAAATCATAAATACCTTTATACAGAGCTATGCTGAATGTATAGATAAAGGTATTGATATGCATACATAATTTTTAAAAAATAATTTTGTATTTATCATAATTCTAAGGCAGATCTCCCTGGATTCACATTGACTCTATACTCTTCACAGAGAAATAATTTTTCCAAAAGCTGCAAATCTTTTTGTAGACATTTTCAAACACCATCAAAGGAAAAAGTTACACATTCTAACTTTGATACAGTCTTCTGGTTTTTTCTTCCTCCTCAGCTGCAGCTACTGATTCCCTGTGTTGATAAACCCTTTTTTCAAACATGTCCAATAGAAATTAAAACAGACACTTATTTCAATATAGGTTTATGAGAGTGTGGTAGGTCAAGACAAATAGATGTTAACAAGAAATAATATTGGATTAATGGTAGCTGTTCTCATAAATGAGATCCATGTTTGCCTCTCAGCAATCAAGAAAAATTAATCACCTCTTATACATTCTAGTCATTTTTACTTGTTCTTTTCAAAGGAAGACAAGTCAGCATTTATTGTTATTGAAGTTTTTCATTGGTGCTGAATTTTTCCCTCTGTGAAGACTGTACAGTGGAAGAGCTGTAAGTACAGCAATAAGCAGGTGCACCTGCTGCTTTGCCAGAATTCTTTATTACCTTTATTATTGGAATCAAGGACAACAGACACTGCTTTTGTGGGGCTTCTCTCTATCATCCTTCTCCACAGCCAGATGATCTTCTCCATGTAAGGTAGCAAATCCTTTCCATACCCTGCTGCACCCAGGAGATGGTCAGAGGGGTTGGAGTTGGCTGCGGATGTACTCTGGACCCAAAGACACGGGGGGCTTTACAGGTTGTGGCAAATCAGAGGGAAGAGAGAAGCTACAACCCAAAGAACAAATACAAGTTTCAGTCTTGTTATGGAAAGCAAAACACTGAAACTCAGAATCAAAGCCCACTTCAACAGTGGAGAAGAGACCACTGAGAGGGGATCTTGTCATTGAATTCAAATATCTTCAGGGCAGGTGTAAAGAGGATGTGGCCAGAATGGTTCCAGTGGAAGGGACAGGACAAGGGGCAACAGGCACAAACTGTAACACACAAAGTTCCATCTGAAGATGAGGAAAAACATCACTGTGAGGATAGCAGAGCACTGGAGCAGGCTGCCTAGAGAGTCTGTGGAGTCTCCCTCTCTGGAGATATTCAAGAACACACGTGGACACAATCCTGTGCAACCTGCTCTAGGTGGGCCCGCTCCAGCAGTGGGCTTTGGACTGGGTGGCACTAGAGGTCCCTTCCTCTACCATTCTGTGATTCTGTGTGTAACTGATGAAATGCTGGAACACACCTTGTTTCCTAAAGAGGCAATTAGATGGTAACTGCTGTGCTTCAAGGCCATTTCTTTGTTGTGTGTTCATAGGGCTGTCAGCACAGAAAAGTCCCATAACAGGAGCCCGTGGATGTACAGTCTGCTGATGGACTCTTCATGACAAGTGCCTGAATTGTCCCACTGATTTTCCTCTGAGTAAATACACAGATAATGTGCTGCTCCAGCCTTTCAGAAGTATGGTATTAAGGGTAGTTAGCACTTGAAAAAGGATTCCAAAATGTCCAAGAGGAAAAAATAGTGTGTTGAAGGAGACATGTGGGCCAAATAAAAGAGCAGGTAAAGATCATGTCTTGTCGGTCTTGGTTTTTACAAGCTTCATGTAAGAGCAGGCATGATGACCACAGACTTAAAACAGTATTGTAAAATAGTGGCACATATGTAAATGGTTCTTAAGAAGATATCAAAGACCCAGGAGTGGGTGATGTTTAGAGGAATCATCAGTTATCTTCAAATCTTACTTTTGCAGTAGCTGACTGGAAATCTCATATCCATCTTTTTGGTGAACATCTGGATTTACAAAAGCAAACTTTTCCACTTTCTCAGGAACTTGCTCATTGGACAAACTTTCAGATCCATCAAAGATAGATATGTCTAGTACGTTGACTAGTTTTGCCCTTCGTGAAATTCTATCTCCTATTCTACCTTTAGCTTTTTAAAAGCTTTATAAAGCATATCTTCTCTTCAACAGAAAAAAAAAAAAAGAAAAAAAAAAGCAATTCCAGTTCTCTTTCACAACTTTTGTGTTCTGCAAGCATTTTGCCCCAGACTCTTGCACCTCACCTTCCCATTTATGGCCTGTTGTTGAGTCACAGAGGAGCCTATTCACCTATTTTCAATACTAATGCAAAGCTTGCTTTCCTCACTTTTTTATAATCTTCCTTCTTTCCACATCAGATTCAGGTTTCATGCTTCTGTCTTTGAGGTCATATGATTCTGTCCTGTGGACAACTTGGTTTTCATTGTTTTTTTTCTCCATTTCCCACTTTTTCACTTTCTTAGCTTCTTTCCAATCTGCTCTTCAGCTTGTCCATGTTATTTTCTCATCTGTTTCAAATTATTTAATATTCAGATGGACAGGAATTTTGTCTTTCTACAGTTGTAAACTGCTATTTATAGATGAAGATATAAGAAATGTAAGTATTTATTAGTACTGTTACCTATTCATCACCTGTATAACCAAAGTCTTTTGTATTAGCAATATCAGTAAGTTTTCTTCCTCTTCCAAGCAGCAATTAAATGTAGAACATGAAAAAATTTTTTGTTCTACAAGCCTTGGAAATTTTAACTTCTGAATTTGTCCTAAAGTGACACCCTACATTTTGATATCAGCTTTGCCAAGCTGAAACTGTAATTGTATTCATCTACAACCTGAATCCAGTTTCACTTGTCATGAATATTTTTATGCTCTAAAGTCATCCAAAGAATATTACTTTTCTGAGCAACCCCTCCAAAGGTATCTTTCAAGTGATCCTTAATTGCTATTCAAGTAAAAATTCCCAATTCCTTTTTTACAGTAGCTGCCTAATATCAATGCATTATATTTAAAAGGGAGATGCATATGGGAAAGAGCTACTTCTGTATAAAAAGACAGTAATTTGCTTGTTTGCAGTGGCTGGTTTTAGAAGTTTTTCCCAAGTTCAAGCCAGTTTCTCAGAGAAAACTGAGTATGAAGTAGACATTTTCCAGTTAATAACATTTGCTTACCTTTTTATATATGTGCATAAACAGGCAGGTTTGCAGTGAGCTTACAGTGTGCCTGCAAGCTTTCCTCTGAAACGCGTGGACCCAGTCTGGGATTGCCTAACAACAAGAGAAATAGTCTTGCAGCTAAAATGACATCCCTAGCATTTTACTAGCTGTCTTTCAAAATCTATATTTGGTTAATACCTATGCCCTCTTGAAACTGGCAGGGAGTTTTTTGAGTGGGCGTAGTGCCACCCCAACAGATGGTCACAGGCGAAGGCATGCCAGAGAACCAGTATGTGCCTCATGTTTGAGTATTAAGTGATGGATTTCCATCCAAGAATATCAAAATAGCAGTCAATGCAGAACATCTGAGCCTATTGCTCAGGGGATATGCTGACTATTCCTGCTCAGAGCTGGATTACCTTTCAAAATCATGGTTAAAAAAAAAAAAAAAAAAAGAAACAACCTTCTCCAGCTGTGAAATTTTGGCACCAACAAATGAGGAGTAGAAGGAAAGAGAAGTATTTAATGAAATATTTTAACAGCTTACTACACATTAAGCACCTGAAATGTCTCCAAAATAGAAACAGCCTTCTGAGGCATGACTTAATTTCTAGGGAATAGTCTGACTAATGTCAGAAGCTGGACCAGCAGATTACCCATCATGGTAGCCCATGTCTGCTTTTGGTTAGACAGCATTAGCCTAAACAATTAAACAAGAACAAGATTCAAGGTTTAAAACAGAAAAGGAATATGGGGGAAAAACAAAAGACCACTTGGAAGCCGCTATCTTTAACAGATCTTTTTCAATATCCCAAAGGTTAATCTTGGGGCTGATACTAAAACAAACATCCTGTGGGACAATTCTATAAGGTGTGCTCTCTGTACTATGCTGGTTAAAGTAAAATGTAGAGTAAGTTTTGTCCCATGCACAAAAAAATGCTTCAAGCCAACAGTTTTATATAAGTCTCTTCTCCATCCAGAGTGATGAAGGCATTTTTCACCTTTTCCAGATTCACCGGAAAAGTACCTCTTCACAACTCTGCTTTCACAGTTGTCTGCAAACATGGACACCTAATTTTCTAAAAAAGCTCTTCAGTTGCTTTTCTTCCATGCATCTTTCTCTCCCCTACTGTTCATAGCGTTTTAGATGCTCTCTACATAATGATGCCCCTCCTGTACTGGCTGAGATATGGCAAGTAAAATGGCAATGGAAAATGGCAATGTATAAACAAGCACCCCTCCTGTTCCTCAGGAATATCTGCATTGCAGGTTAAAGATGCATTCGGGATATACATGAAAGCAGTTAATACAGGTACCAATTTCATGGAAACATTTCACCCCAGCAGTCACTTCTAGCCAGGATGCAATGAGATTTTCCTGCCATGGAGCACACTGAGCTGTGCTTGTGTTAGCCAGGTTACACTGACTGCTGCAGGGCACACATCTCCCTTCTCCATTTAGTGTGATGACAGTTTTCATTTCTATAGACTCCAGATGTGGCAATTTCCATAGTAATTCTCCCAGGATAGATTAAGCACTCAGGAAGTTCTGTTGATTTTAGGTATATGAAATAGTTGGGAAGCAGCAAGGCAGTAACTGCATACATAGACATGTAAGTTGTCTTTCTGCAGGGAGATATTTGTTGCCAAGAAAACATAAAAAGATTCAAACAAGGCTTTCAGCTCTCCCCAAAATAGTCTGAATGCTTAACAGAAGTAGTTTCCTAGCAGCTTTACTGTGAAATAGTCCATAAAAAATGTTCAAAGGTTTTCTTTGCAGCAGTTTTTAGAGATACTTGAATTTTCATATTCACACTATATGAAAATTAAGGACCAGGTAGCCTTGTCCAGTGGTTTCCTGTTGAAGAGAAAGGTGAGAACTGCTGTGTTATAAATGTCTTCTAGAAGAAGAGAACAAAAGGAGATGACTAAGAAGCCATGGGAACTGAGCTGCAAGGAGAAGCTTATTCTGGGTTGTGTGTGATTGCCTGTATGCAGTATTTCTGCATTTTTTTAGTTGCTGGGGATGTAGTTTTTAACTGTCGTGATAAATTCTCTCCTGTTAGCTCCCCATACTGAATAAACAACATTGAGAAAGCTGAGGGCAGCTTTTTAAAACCAGGCATTTTGTACAGGGTGCTGACAACAGTCCCCGTGTCCCTATTTCAGCACTCTGCTTTGCAGATGGCAGCATCTGCTAGAAAAATCTACATTTCCTCATAACAGGCATGTTATCAGAGCTCCTGGTCTTTCCTAATACTCATTTTGTCTTTCCTTCCTCTCTTTACAAGATGTGCCTAAATCCAGGGGGGCTTCCATACCTAAATTTCCTTTAATACACTGGCATCCACAGCCTACAGACCTGGCCCAGATAGGACTGAATGAACAATTTGCAGAAGTCTGGGAATTTCAAAATACACTAGGTCAAAGCACATAGGAATTCATAAATGCATTATATTTTAAAAAAATAAAGGGTTTCTAGGAAGAGGGGGAAGTATTGGCAGCTGCAACTGTGAACTCTGAGTTCCTTTCTTTTTACTAGTTAGTACAAGTACATTCTGCTTTTTTAAAATATTTTTCCCCATCTCTACTCAAAACTGAGCATTTTTCTGTAAAAAGACCCTTGAAAGAGCAAATCTTGAAGGTTCGAGAACTGGCATTTGCCTTCTGAAGCTCTTCCTAGAGATCTGACTTTTGATAAGGACATTGTCATCAAATCAGGTACCACTCTTCATTTTTCCAGTGTCCTAATGTGGCATAAGCAAGTACTACTCCAGAGAAGTGCCTCTTTCTGGAGAAAAAGCCTGAAAGAAGAAAAACTAAAGTGGAAGAGTATACTGAACTGCAAAAGGGTTATTTCAAAATGTCCTGAAGAGGTCAGAAAACTAGGGAATGGGGTAACTGTGTAAATGTAAGTGCTATTTTAATTTCAATAATGATGGTTCCTTTTCCCATAAAGAATAATAAGATCTGATATCATCAAAACACACATCTGTATACCTTACTTTCATATGTTAGACCAAAAGCGAACCTAACTCCCTACTGCAGAGCTCCAGTTTCACAATAATATACCTCCACTAATTTTTCGAGCATTTGATAACACCGTTGACTAAGACAGGAGCAGAACAGATCCAGAATATTCATTGTTTATTATCCAGAAGAGACTGAAAATGTTGTTGTATATATCCTTGAGGACAGTGGGGCTATGTAAATATTTGAATAGTTTTCGTAACATTTTGCCAGATCTGTTTTTCACTTTCCGGGATTTTAATATTTAAGCAAACATTCACAAAACAACAAGCTGCCCGGAAAACTCTGCAAAGTCAAAAGATCACTTATGATTTAACTTGAGAGCTGACCTCCCTTCACTGGAAATTATCCACCTTTTGGATGCAAACTAAGCAAAAATGAAACTCATTTGCAATTTTAGACAAATGCCAGTATTCTTGAGAGTTTTGAAACTGAATCTAAGCAAGTACTTGTCAGAAAAAATACGCTTTTTCACTGATCAGACTGTTTATATGGTTGCCCTATTCCTGTATTGCACCTACTAACATGCTTTTTAACTACAAAAATAAGGAAAATCATTGTATCCACCCTTTATTTGTAGACTAAAAAATATAAACACAGTTGTGTGTCTCTACTGGCCACATTTTTTTTCTCCCAAGACTTTTGTTTGCTAATTTCTGAGCCTTTTCTAATGCAACCTTTTCACAGCACAGAATCACAATATCTAAATCCTGCTAAGTGAAAAAAGCCCACTTCTAAAGACTTAAAGTACCAGCAAGCTTGAGGGTGAGGAAAACAGTATGGGCCCAGGGATTTAAGAGATAAGAGTTTTTCTGCATTAATATATAGTGTACACTTTTGTTTCCAGCATATCCACTTGCCAGAACTGTTTGATGCTGTGAATTAGTTTGAAATTTTAATTTCATGAATAATTCACAATCACTGCAGTGATTCCAGAAAGTCATGGCACCTTATCATACATTTGCATCAGTGCTCAACACTGAAGGGAATATCTATGTGTTTCTAGAAAGTGTTGTGGTGTCTTGGAAAGTAAGTGCAGTTCAGCTAAACATTAATAAAAATTCCTATGTGCTTATGTGCACTTTCTTCCTTCTAACCTTCTGCACAACGCACAGGTAACATTTTTTTTTTTTTTAATCCTGACACCCAGTCTGAAGCTACTTCGTGGCTTGTATGCAGGATTTTGTCACTTGTCATGTATTTCAATGGCATTTCCTCCATTTTTGTGAGTTATTGGAATTTTGCCTTCAGGGCTCCAAATAGGTACTGTTGTGGCTTAAAGTAGATTTTGCAGATCCCATCTGAAAATGAACTGAATTTCAAAAAATATTGCTGTCACCTTTCTTTGCAGGCACCAAGAGAAAATAATAGACCTAATAAGAAGGCGGCGTAAATCAGAAGAGAAAATAATCCTTAAGTGGAAATTTTATCACTCAGATGGCCATCACTTTATCTCTGACATTAATGGCTTGACTTAGTATGGGACAAGTCTTCAAATACTCCAACAACATTTCTAAGCTTTCTTTTGTGGGATACAGAAAATCCACGCTCTTCCCAAGCAGCAGAAGATAAGGGTAGTGCAGGACATCGTCAGAGAGCACATGTGAAATTCTAACTGGCTAGATGTAGTCACAAATCAGAGAGAGAACAATAAAAATGTGCACCTCCCCCCAGCCTTCCAGTAGTTATTTGTACAGTATCTTGGACAACTCCCAGAGAAGGGAAGAGAAAGCCACTAACCTAGAGCAACTCCCAAACTGATGGCTTCAGGGAGTGCAGATGGGGCTTATCCTCACGTGTTGTGACAGATCAGCTCCCCACCACAGACTGCTAAGTTCACAGCAGGTCTCAGGAGTCTGAAAGTGAGAGAGTCAGCTTTCAGCATTCAAAGGAAGATTTGTTTTCAGCTGCACAGAGGATCTGTCCTGCCACAGTACCTGCAAATTAGGGTCAATTGGAAAAGTACAGAGGCCAGATTATCTGCATTTTGCTGAATCATGTACAACTCAGCAAAAGAAAGATAAAATGCGACTAAATTGGAATGGAAGCATTTCAGGCTTTTTTTTGCACTGGTGCCAAAGCAAAGTTAAAAAAACAAAAGTTTTGGTCCAAAATACTTAGCTAAATATGTGAAATAATTAGTACAGAGTCTCAGAAATTCTTTACTCACTTTATACACAGGCCTTTGACTGTTTTCCATAAACTCTCTGTGTTCAATGGTCTTTGAGGAGATAAAACAGTTTTCAAGTGGTATGATGTAAACACAATAAAGTATGGAAAGTTAGTGGAATTAAATTATTTGCTATCAATGGCTATGAATAAACTAGGTGCTGTTTGGAGCAATAAATATCATACTGGTGTGTAAATATTAGTGAGTTTCACAGTCCATGTAAATTATTCAATGAATAATCAGGAGTTGGCTCATGTTTATAGTCAATTCAGACTAAGGTTTGCTTAAGAAATTCAGAAATCCTAGAGGAAATCTTCCTATAGGACTGCAAAACTGTTTATTTGAACTAGCAAAATTTACTCAAACCAGAAGATAATTGAAGCATTATTTCTTTGAAAATAAAGGATTAGAAACTTAAGCACCCAGATATGGTTTCAGATGAAACAGAGAGACAGAGCCTGGTTTGATAGACAGGGAAGAGAGTGCCTCTCTGTTCCTGACTCTAAGAAGTTAAATAAGCCCCTAGAATAGCATTCACAGCAGGTTTTCTTTGTGTCTAAGACAGTGATAATGATGAGAATAATACATTTCCCTGGTAGGGTTCCACTTAGAACGCAGCGTTCTGTTCTTGTCTATTCAGATTAAACAAGACGTTGCAGGATTTGAAAAGTACAGAGGCAAAGTGCAGCGAGCTATGAAGGCAGAATTGTACAAAAAAACAAGTAAACATGTGTGTCTTAAAGGTTCATGGAAAACAGACAACATCTTGAACATGTGTACAATAAACCTGACAGATGTGATGATACAGCTCCTCTAGCCAGGTGCAAACCATACCCATCCATAACAGTGTTCTCTAAATACTAAACTAAACACTAATTAAGTCTAAGGTTGCCAAAATACCCATTACAAGATAATGTTTACAGTGAATTACTAAATTAGTCATTCAGATATAGAGTGTTATGATTTTTATTTTTCAGATATACATTGTATATTTGTACCATGAAAGTATTGGGGTGCATTTCTGCTAAGAATTTGACAGTTTCCAAGAACAAGATCATGGAAGCACACGGTTTCCCTTAGATAGAAAATATTTTTAAGTCATTTTACTGTCAATCTCTAGTCTCTTTCATGTACATCAGCGTGAAGGCTTGAAACACATTTGAGTTGAGTTGTTTTGCTTTTTCTATCCCCAATAAAATTTTCAGCATCATAAAAAAATTTGGGAAATTTTGATTTTATGAGGGCAG